TTATTCTAAAAACACTAAATGTATTTAGAATGTATAGAGAAAGCTGCTAATTTTATTTTTTAGACTTTAGTGATACACCGAGAACAAAATCTAGAAATGTCAAAAACTTTTAGAATTTAGAACAGGCGTTGGAAGCAAAATTTAGAAAGGCAGCTGAATTTAGGATCCACAGAGATTGCATCAGGTGGGAAAATGCCTATCGCTATCTCTGTGTATGATGCATTAAGATATATTAGATGGACTGATTAAATTGCCAGTTTTCAATTTATTTATTAATAAAAAAATTATTTTCTACACTGCCTGTCCATATGATAAGATTAGAAGCATTTTTGATATTTTCCATGCTTGCGTTTAGTGAAAAGTACAGAAAATAAAGGGAAGATAAAAATGTTAAGAAAAAGATTCTAGTATCAGAAGTAAAACATTCAACTATTCATTGTTCTTCCAGACGTTCTCTAAAAATTAAGAAATTATGTATTAATACCATGGAGACATTTTTCATTTCGTCACATTTTTCTGGAATCTTCCAAAACCATGGGTCTATAAATATTGCCTTCAAATCTTTCTAAACTTTCCAAGCTTCAATGTCTAAAATCATAAAAAAAAAATTACCCTTACTAATTCGGTAACAGCAAAAAGCCAGAAATATTTTGAAAAAAAATCGGAGGGAAAAAGTGTAAAAATAATTTTATAGAGAAAACTGATGCGTATTCTGAGAATTCTGAATATTCTGAGATAATTACAGGGAAAACTCTTACCATGAAAAAACTAAAAACGTTTTTAATTAATTACATAGCTATTTTGCTAAGAACTGTTTCATAAATTATGCTTTACAACAATATACCTTGCTTATTTTTCAAATTCAAAATATTGTATAATAAGTGGCCAAAATAGAACTTTATAATATGACAGCAAAAAATAAAAAAGCTTTATTTTAATGTTATTTCTTAAATATAATTACATTACCAATATTTTAATGAAATTTATCAATGTTACAATGTTTTAAAAAAATCGTCGAAAAATTCTCAGACATCAGAATTAAAAATTTTCTAATTTTCTATACAAACTGATCTTAAAATCCTCAAAATGTTGATAAGTCGCCAAATTTAGAGCAATTTAATAAAAGAATTCACATCCCCAAATGCGAAAAGTTGTTTAAAAGCTCTTCACTAAAAAAAATTAAATAATTTAAAATGCTTACGCTTCACTTCTTGCTCAGAAACTCTATCTCATCATTTATATTAGAAATAGGAACAAATTATAACCCATATACGCATTCACCCATTCAAAAGATAATGATATTTTGTCATCGAATTGCCAAAAATATTCCTCCAAAATGCTAATTCATACTCAGAATGGCAGTCGTAAAAACAGACAGAAATTTAAGGTGATTAAAATTAAGGACCCTCTGCTGATTTTGGCCAAAATTAAGGACTTTTAAGGACCAAAAATCGATTCCAAAAAACTTAAGGACTTTCAAGGACTCTTAAGGACCGTACGAACCATGTTTCAGAAGGAAGGCGAAAACCAGACTGACCAGAAATACCAGATGCATTGCACTCATAGAATGTTTCTAGGAGTGTAGAGGAAGGGAGGAAGGTCAGGAAGGGGTTGTCTAAAAATTACAGCCCAAAAGATGGCATTGGCGTACTCTGTATGCCGGCTCCTCCATTGCAAGATTAATTAAAATCACCAGATCTTACAGTAAAGAAACCTGTGTATATCCGCATTTACTTTTGGAAGAAAAGAGATAGAAATTTTATACAAGCACGTTTCAAAAGAAAGAAAAAGTTTAAATGTATGCAGAAATGTATTAATAGAAACTGAAAAAAAGCAAAAATAAAATTTACATTTGCCAGACATAGTTTAGTGAATCCTATGATTAAAAGTAAGGTGCCTAAAAGAAAATATGGTACGTTTTGTATAATCTTTCAAAACGTTAGTACAGCCTAAGTTATACATTAGAAGAGAAAATTATGTGTACCTCTGCTTTAGTTGTGGAAGCCTAAAAAAAATAGGAAATCTAATATCCCAACTAAATTTTGTAAAATAAACTTGATTGGTTCTTATGCTAACTTTGTATCACGGAAAACAATACCCATGACTGCCAGTAGAGTTAAGTGATCTTGCATTGATATTCATGAAAATTCTAAGTTACATTTCAAAGACAGAGAAATATATGTAAGTTTATTTTTGAAGAAATGGAAACATATTATCAGTTAAGTATTTGAAACAAAAACAGAAAATTAAATAATAAATTAATTAATTAAAAATAAACATAAAATAAAAGAGTGACAAAAAATTCAAAACTTTTTTAAAAAATGAAAAAAAAAATTGTAAAAAAAAATTATAAAAGGAAAAATATTTTTTTTATTTTCAAAAATAAAAAAAATTGCATTTATTAAGAAAAAGACGTTTAAACTTTTGAAAATAAGTATTTTGTAAAAGATAAAAAACAGGGGAAAATAAAAATTCACTTTTGCAAAAACAACAACAAGAAAAACACTATTTGTGAAATTAAAGATTTGCGTTTGTCAAAACAGAAAAGTGGAAAGTAAACTTATGTTTAGGAAAATAAATGTTTCTTTCAGAAAATAAAAAGTGAAAAGAAAAAGAAAAATGTTGAAATAAAATTTAGCAAAAAAATAATAAACAAAAAAGGTGAAATATTCCACTTGCAAAACAAAGAACATGTAAAAATAGATTTAAAAAAAATATTTAGAAAGAACAAGGAAAGCTACATTTCCCTAGAGGTGCTATAAAAACGAACACAAAACTTAAGTCCAAGCTCAAGACTAACGTCATACTCATTCTTTATTGAAGGCAATAAGCAATTTTGGTCTTAAAGCTTCGGTAGTCTTACACTAAGAAGCATGGCTAGCGACTCAGAGGTTGGAGGCAAAATCCAGCTTTTTAAGACTTTTATAATTATACAAAATCCATTTATTAAAAAATTACTATTATTACAATAAATAAACGAACAATTAAAATTAAATTATTAAATAATTAGACTCCATTAAGAAAAAACTATTAAAAAATTATGTTTTCTCCTTGAAACACATAGTTCAAGATAAAATCGTTGTTGCTACAAAATAAAAAAAAAGAAAAAGAAACTTAAATTGCTATTACAAAAAAAAATAACTACTGCAGTGGCATCGCCAGACAGGCGATACAAACTCAAACCTATATTGAAAATCGCCATTTGGAGAAAGACAGTCAAAACCTGCAATCTTACAGGATCTTACAAGCTGATGGAGAGGGACGGGTTTTTCTCTGGCAGTTTCACTGGCACATGTAAACCTTGGTACGCGTGTCTGTGCTAAACCCTTTTTTTGTCTTCTTCAGGTATTTATAGTATATCCCGTGCTCTGTCTTTCTTAAGCCATTATAATGTATCCAACTATGCTATTTTTCTTATTAAATTTAATTTTTAATTGCTATATGTCTATCTCAATTAAGACTGCTGCTTTTCTAGTTAATTCTATCGATTCTCTCTTAGGCATGTGTTACTCACACGTACCTCATTACCATAGATGACATCATTCAACACGGCGGTGCAATTTCCAGCTGTCATATAATCCAAGTTGGCGGCAGCATATCAAAGGATAGAGTTTATTGGTCTCCGATTGCATCAAATGCTAGTCCATTATGTATAACTTCTGAGATGGCATCGTTTGGCTACACAGTTACTGGGCTTACTTAATTACTATAATTTATTTTATTTTTAGTCAGCACCTCCTGATTTTAAAATGCCAAACTTTGACAAATCAGTTTTTGATCAGTTTATATTAATAGTGTTAGGATGCTTAAAGAACCTCTGAATATTTGTATATACAGTCAAAAGTCGTTAATCCGGACTCGTCGAGACTTCGGCGATTCTGGATTATTGAATTTCCAGATTATAGATCATCAGTTTAAATCTGGTAAGATGGCACGCAGAAATTATAAAATTAAAATTATGAAACCGTAATTTATGAAATAAAGAACAATTATGATCTAAAGGGTATCAAAATTTACAAAAAAAAGCTTAATATTTATTTTTTTACTTTATTAAATATTTCTTTCAATGTAAGTTGTTCAAGTTGCTTCGTTTTATGTGTAATACTTTCTTTTTAATTCTATAAACAGACATAATTTTTTCTTCAGTTACAAAGTTCCGCTGTTCAAGTCCTATAATTGCTGTGTCGAGAATACCGACTAATTTGTCAATCGAAATTTTTTTGTTTTCAATAACCTCTGTGTCACTTTCTTCACTATCGGAAGCGAATATGATGACTTGGAATTTGATTTAAATCATATCAAAGACGGAGTACATCGAGATGAAATACTACATTTAGTAAGGAATTATAAGCCAAATAAAATAAAAACATCTGCCCTGAAGATAAGGATAGTGCTGACAGATCAACTTCCAATTCATTGCGCGCCGCGGCGTTTCCCCCCCACCCGCCGCAGAGCAGCGTGAAATTGATAAACAGATTTCGGAATGGTTAGAATACGAAGGATATGCCTTTATCCATTTTTTGCAGCAATTCCACTTTTTGTTTAATGGACTTCTAAACATACTTTCGCTTTGTAGATCCTTTACATATTAGTAAATATATATCAGAAATTCTATTAGACATAATCGAAAGTTCAAGCTTACTTTTATAAAATTGCTCTAACAGTCTGCAAAAAATAAGCCGGATCCAATTCGAAGATTAAGGAACAACGCAATCTGCAACATTAACTGAATTAGATAATTTTAGCTTAGCTTATAAAGTTCGTTATACATTAAACGTGCACACGCATATTCACAGTCGTAAAGGTCTTACGCGCATGCGTCAACGTGACGCATGCGCAGAAAGTTTGTAGCTTTGAGGTCCGGATTATAGATCATTCCGGATTATGGATGTCCGAATTAACGCCTTTTGACTGTATTTAACTAAAAATGTAACGTTGTGACAGAATGCAAAGACACAGTAGCAACTTCCTAACATTTTAAAGAAAACAGAAACATTTACCTTTGATTTTCCTTCCAAAGCACCAGTGCCAGCATACATTTTGCTAACCTGATCTCCATTTTGGATCCACATTTGTTTAAAGACTTCATTAAACCTTGAAATAATCTGTGGTTGATCAGTTATTTCTAATGCAGATATCTGCTGCTTTAAAACCTTAAAAAATAATATTTCTGTAAATATTGTAATTTACTGAAAAATATATTTATTTATATGCAAGTTAAATAAAAATTCGAACATATAAAATAAATATTTATATTAAGTTAGTTCTAAATATACTGAAATTGATATAAAGCAGAGTTTTTTAATATAAAATATCCTTATTCAGAGTGAGAAAACCATTGAGCTAAATGTTGTCAAAACTGGTTCATATTTCAGGGAAAAGGAAATAAATTTCTGCAATAGACATATTTTATTTAGCATTTAAAAAAATCAATCAAATGAATTATAAATACACAAACTTTATTAATCAATCAAATTAATTATAAATGCACAAGCTTTCCAACTTCTGCACATAATATAAGCATTGAAAACTATTCGTGTAAAGTATTTACTAAGATGACAAACCATCATTTTCAATCCAGTGTTACATAACATAGTCAAGAATTTCATTCAGACAAAATAGGTATGCTTGCAGGCATTCAGAATTCTGACATGGCAGATTATAGAGAGGAATAATTTATTAAAATGCTCTGAGAAAGTTCTGAGAGGAATAAATAATTTTTGGGAGGAGTAGTAGCAATAGTGTAGTAAACCTCTTCATGATGCACTTTTTAGTAATGTAAAATCTACAAAAAGGTTTTGCTATTTCTCTGTATGTGCCCATCATAAGTAGGAATTTAAGAATAAGCAGTGAGTGATAAGTGATTGTTGTGCAATAGAATGCTTGTAATTCATCAGAGAAAACAGTATTGCTTTCAGTTGCCTAACTAATTAAACAAAAATTCATTGAGAGAAAGAAAATAGTCCTAGTAATCAAAGACTATTTATATAAGGTTCAAGGCAAAAAAAAAAAAAAAAAAAAAAAAAAAAAAAAAAAAAAAAAAAAATTATTTGTGTTTTAGACAACTCACGGGAGGATCAGAAGAGCTGCTTAGTATGCTGACCTTGTGTTCGACAAAAACCTGATACACTAAGCTGTTTTGTACCACAGAATTATTTGTGTTGATCTTTTCGCGTATGCTGCATAATTCTATTCTTCAAGGATGGCATGTTAAAGGCTCCCGGACAATCATGTTTTTCAATGTAAACCCAAATCATATGGATGGATCTTTCATAAAAAATCGTAATTGATAAAGCTCATCTGATGAACCTTTTTTCTGTAAAATGTTACCACATTAATTGCTAAACTCAAGCTTGAAATAAAATTGCCTTGCTAAAGTTAATCGTGATGAAGTCATGAAGTAACTTAATTCTGAAATATTATCTTCTGGTTTTCTGCATTTATTATGCAAACTGTAAATTGTGCCACAGAATTTTTTAAAATCTGGTAGACATATCAATTTCCCCCATAACTTTTGGAGACTAAAGCAAGCACAGGATTCCATTAAATGATGGTAATTCCTTGTAGCCTAGATTTAGCAAATTCCGTCATTCACTGTTTGGAAAGGATAAAAATGTGCTTCAACACTTCAAAAGATGTTCCAAGACATCTATGCATGCCAAAAACATCAATGTTAAATTTCTTTCTTCGGATTTCTTAATTAGGGCTGTTACAATCTCATCTGGTGTTTTTGAAGCTTTCTTTATTGCAAAATTCCCCAAACACACAAAGAAGGATATTTTTACAGTCACATTTTTTGTCCATGATCATTAACTGCTTTCACTGAACTTTTACAATTTTGATCAAGTATGCTTAACACGTTTAGGCACGCTACCTTTTAAAGTTGGAGTTTTGATAAAAAAAAAAAAAAAGGTAGGCAGTCTAATTAGGCGTAGAGGAGTACATAAGTAAAATTTTGTGAAGATAGCACTTATAGGTTTAATTATAAGGGTGTGCCCAAAGTGAGCACACTGATTGAATAGAGCTTCAAAAAGAGCGCTGAAACAAGCATTGTTGTCAATGAACTGACAGATGAGGTGCAGAGAAGCAAAGAATACAGACTCTCAGATGTCCTAGATTATCGGTGTGCCCAGTCTGGGAACACCTAGGGTTCGCCGTTTGATTTTAGGCAAGATTTCAAGGTAAAAATTTAAAACTAATATAGAATAAGAAGATTAGCATACAGCCAAAAAAATAACATAGACATTTCTTTTCAAACAATTCCTTTTATACCCTAAAAAAAAAATTTGGAAGATTTCTTTGAAAAATGAGGGTCTTAAGAAACTAAACATGGCTAAAATATATGGACTGGTTTGTGCTGAGCTGCCATCTACTATAAATAAAGAAGGTTCAGAGTAACCTATAGTAACCTACAAATCCTTTTTCATTCAATTTTTCTGTGCGTACAGAAGGAAATTTTACGTGTGTCCAGACTGAACACACTGTGCCGCAAAGGGTTAAAAGTAAAAGCTTGCTTTACAATTAAACTGCATGGTGTTGCACCTAAATTTCAATGATATTTGGCAACTTTAAACTAATGTAAAATAAGAATACATTTAATTTCCACTGATATGCATTGTAAGTAATTTCAGTCAAAATTCTTTGCCATTATTTGAAATACACTCCTATTAACCCTGCAATGGAGGAGCCGGGGTACAGAGTACGCCAATGCCATCTTTTGGGCTGCAATTTTCAGACAATTCCTTCCTAAGCTTCCTCCCTTCTTCTACCCTCCTAGAAACATTCTATGAGTGCAATGCATCTGGTATTTCTGGTTAGTCTGGTTTTCGCTTTCCTTCCGAAAGCAGTTATTGTGAACATGTCGCATAGGCGAACGCAGTACGCCGCTCCTCCAAGTATGTACAGAAAGAATGTTGTACCTCCTGAAGATTATTTGCGCGTTTTAGAATCGGTTGATGAAGACACCGACAATTTGGATAACGCCAATGATGTCGATGAATTGGAAGTCATCGAACATTCTGATCATGAAAGTGATTCAGAAATTGAGGGAAATGTTTCTAAACATCCTCATTTTCCTTCCTCAAATGATGTTTCCCCAACAAATGACGATTTTATTGATGATGAAAATGACATGAGTGATATAAATATAAGGAGTTTTTGTAAACAAAATTTACAAAAAGAAGAAAGTTGGAGGAAAGTTTCTGAAAGAAGAAAAGGAAACTTATAAATGGAATAATGTTCCCCTCAAAAGTAAATTCACCAGAACGCCTTGAAAACATTTGATGAAAAAAATATTCCCAAGTGCCAAAACTTGTGACGATATAAATGATGAGCTTTCTGATTTCCAGAAAATCATAAATACAAATGTGATTGATGCCATCGTACAATATACAAATATTTATCTCAAATGTAACAGGACTGCAAATGATCTCCAAAACACCTCAAAGAGAAGCATGTATGATACATGATTCACTGTCTCCCGAAAAACCAAGAGGTGGATAATTGCAATATTTTTTGCACTGCTAAACGTAGCGGGCATAAATTCGCAAGTGCTCTTGAACTTCGCCAAACCTGATGCAACCATCAAGTTTAGAAGATATTTTTTGAAAAATCTAGCTACATCTTTTATGAAACCACATCTTCAGGATCGCCTGAAAATGCCATTTCTCGTGTCGCATTCCAAAGCTATTATTAGAAGGCTGGTAACAACAAAAGAGGACAAGAAAGGCTGAAAGTGACGAGGAACCACCTGCAAAAAAGATCAAAGGACGCTGAGGCTGTGTGCGGTAGAATGAAGAATAATTACACTACCATAAAATGTTTTGAGTGTTCTAAGTTTACCTGCAAAAATCATCTGGGCAAGACAATACAACTTTGCAAACCCTGCTGCAGTGAACAGGGACAATCTGAAGAGGATTAAAGTAGCAAAAGGTTTTTAATTTTTTCATTTGTGAAATTTATTACTTACCGAACTTTAAGGAATATTTATAATTTGTAAGGTTGATTTATGATCTTATAATTTTCATACATAAAATAATACAGAATACTCTATAACTTTAAATTACATTTCCAGTGCATTCCATTTTTTGAATTAATTAAAAATTCTTAATTTCCATCTTTATTCCTTTTTTTCCTGTTATACTTTTTCTTATATCATTTTTACTATGACGATTCACCTTATTAATGCCATTTATAAGATTAAATAGTTTCAAACATGAAGCAGAGGCTCGAAAAACGACCTAGCGTACTTCATACGCTGCCGCTCTAAAACTGTACCATATACCAGCCCCTCCAAGTGAGGGTTAAAAAATAAGCAACAAAGGCAAAATACGGAATAAAACAAAAACTACGCTCTATAACAAAAAAAAAAAAAAAAAATCGACGCACCAAGAAGGAGTTGTCTGATGGAGACAAAAATTGGTGGATAGGAAGATTATGTACAGAATAGAAAAATTATTAAAATTTCAGAACAACTGAATGATTTATTTCAGAGTTACATAGTTACAAAGTAATGAGCTCAATAAGGTGTACACCCACCTCCAGTCCAATAAACGTCTGTACACTGTTTGTCCGGTCCAAACAGTCTAAGCAATTGGTACGAAAAGTTCCTATTTGACACCTAAAATAATTGCAACAAAAAGAAATAAATATGTTAAACTTCAAGAAATACTGAAAAGCATTATACATCAGTAATCGTAAGAATTTCTGCATTAAATTTTACTTAAAATATTGGTATATACATATTAAAGCGGACAGATCTGTTATACAACCAAATACCTAAATTTTCTGATCTGGCACCGTGATCTAACTTAGAATTACTGATTTTGGTGTTTTGTTGACAGGTCATTGTTGTTGGGAATGCTTAATCAGAGCACCAATTTCTGACATATTTCGAACTTTGTGCAAGCTACTTTCTTTATGATAAAACAAAATCTGAAATCCTATATCCAAAGATGAAGACGAGATTTCTTCCACAAATATGTATTCGTAAATTCGAACACTAAATCTGACAGTATGCTTCTTCAAAGCTCATTTACAGGTCCAATATCTCCCTTCAAAATTACACACATAAGGGACATCACATAGGGCCCAAGTTTAAGATTCTCACATGCCTTATCTCCTTACAAAGCGACTGTCAGTGGCCAGCGCGCTCACCTGATTCAGACCAGTGCGATTTCTTTTTGTGGGGCTATCTGAAATCTCTAATGTCCAAAGACCCTGGCTCAATTGAAGAACAATATTCAGGCTGCTATCGACAACATACCCGTTGACATGCTGGTAAAAGTGGAAAAGTAAGAAATTTCAAAACTCAACTATCTCAATGCATTGAGCAAAATGGAGGCCACCTTAATGATATTATTTTTAAACTGTAATAAGGAAAGAAACTTGTGTCTCTTTATTACTTGGAAAAAAATTAAACTGATATCGCTTATACTACTCGTGTTATTCATTTTTAAAATAAGGTAGTTTCCCTGCCACACCCTGTATTTAATCATGTACGTATGGAAAAAAATTTTATTACCTCGTAGGGACTTATATATATTTTAACTAACAAGTTAAAGTTTAACTTCAAACTTTCCTATAAGCCTTCATTCCCCTAATTGTCAGTGCCAGAATATTTAAATTTTGTAGCGTGCATAGAGAAATGCAAATTTCTACTTTGAAGAAAGTATTTAAAAGCCGATTTTCAGTGGGAACGAGAGGAGAGTTAGGCTATAACCGCCACCTCTGCCTTAGATACGTTGGCTTATTGCTGATTCAAGTGGCTTAATTGCATTTACTTGCTGCCGCTAGTTTTGAAGGGGGTTAACCCCTTAAGGACCAGTGCAGGGAGAACAAAGCGCGGTCACAGGACTGGACCTGCTGAAATGGATCGTCGCTACCGGCCCGTGCATTTTCAGCAGTTAAGCTTAATTTTACAAAAAAAAAAAAAAAAAAAAAATATATATATATATATAAAATCAGCATTTTGATATTATGACTTCAATTTTTGAAGTTCCTTATTTAACGCACTTGTTTTTAATGTGTATTAATACAAAGAATATCACATTAATAGAAATAAATTAAACAGGCAAATAACTAAAATCATAACTACACACACAGAAATAAGTACTATAAACATGAAGAAAAATTTACAAATACAGAATTTAAAAAAACTAAACAAAAATTACCTGTAGGTAATTAAATTCCAATTTAAAAAATCTGCTGTGTGTGAAATAATTCAAAACAAGGATCGACACACAGTCCTACATTGCATATTTCACACTCAAAATACGTTGCTTTTCCTTGGTTTTAGCGCACACAGTGCATCATCTCCTACCTTTATTACCTTTTCCGTCAATGTAAATTTTCGAAACTGTCTTCCAGTTAGACGGAAAGGAGGAGTGTCCGGTGATTTTGGACAAATTTTTAAGTAAGGTCTCTTAGCCATGGCTAATGGAATCAAACTGAATATATTCCAAAATTTCTTCAAAAGACACTCAGAAATATTTCATCCTCAAACCCTGTGTGACATCAGGTTTATATTAGAAAACTTCCTGTTTTTCTAAATTGAAAACAGCGCCCACGATGCCCGTAAAGTGATCCAGAAAAGACCCCCACTGGCTGGATATCCGTTACTTATCACGTCAATATATACATTATATTAATTACATCATATGTACAGTAAATACATTATACAGTCAAAAGTCGTTAATTCGGACACCCATAGTCTGGACCTCAAAACTACAAACTTTCTGCGCATGCCTCGCGTTCATGCATGCGCATAGGCGTTTAATAGTGCGCGAAGCCCTTTACGGCTGCGAATATGTGTGTGGGCATGCGCGTTTAATGTGTAACGGACGGTATAAGCTAAGCTAAAATTATCTAATTCAGTTAATGTTGCAGATTGCGTTGTTCCTTAATCTTCGAATTGGATACGGCTTATTATTTTTTGCAGACTGTTAGAGCAATTTTATAAAAGTAAGCTTGAACTTTCGATTATGTCAAATAGAATTTCCGATATATATTTACTAATATGTAAAGCATCTACAAAGCGAAAGTATGTTTCGAAATCCGAAATCTGTTTATCAATTTTTCTTATCATAATTCTGTTGGAAAATATAACTTATTGCAAACCTTTTACTGCATCATCTCTCCTCCTTGAAATGTTTATTTAGTTTAGTTCTTATTTTAATGTAATATAGTAGTTACTTCTATTTTCTTTTTCTTACTGCCACTGTTTGTGTTGAGAACGGACTGTTTCAACCTAATTGAGATGCAAAAACGAAACGTGATGTTACGTCATCTGGAAAGCCGATTTGTGCCGATAGCTGATTGGTTGCCGTGAGAAGACGTCATGCCTACTTCTGCTATAAGTATCTCGCGTCGCTCTGGCTCAGCCCTTCTAGTTCCTGCTTTCCTGGCACTTGGGTGTGCGCACTTGGGTGTTTCCAGCCCCTTCAGAAGGATGCGTGCAGCCCGGTGAATAAGTTCCTTGGTTCCTGTATACAAGATTGATTGTTCCAAAATAAGTTCCTTGGTTCCTGTCTACAAGATGACCTTTCAAGAATAAGTTCCTTGGTTCCAGAAGCTACAATGTCAGTGACTGCCGTGAGCGGCATCCATGTTCTTCATGAAGGTGGCATTTAAAGTAAATTAGCGGCGATTCCTCGTGTTCAACTGATGTAAGCGGAGTTAGGCCAGATTTAAGTGCTTTCAAGAACTTAATCTAAATTTCAGGTGCTTTTTTTACCATTGATCATGGACTTATTGAATGTGTAGCCAATTTCATTTGAGACCGCATTATTACTGTTTAGGACATTTTGTTTGTATTGAATGCCAGTATTTTTGGAGACCAGGTAAAAACATTATTTGATTAAATGATGGTTATATTATATTTTTCCTAAGACTCTGATATTGTTTAAATTTATTTTCAGTGTTTTTATTCTTTTTTATATTGTTAATAAATTGGTTAAGTTTGAAACTTCTTTATTGTATTCAATGTCTGCACAACATACTATCTCAGGGAGCTTTTATTGCTACTATTGCTAAATGTTTTATAAACTAACTTTACTAAACTTTAATGCTAATTTTATAAACTTTAAACTTTGCTTTAGCATCAAATTCCTTACTAAATGTAGTATTTCATCTCGATGTAACCCGTCTTTGATATAATTTAAATCAAGTTCCTCGTCATTATAATTCGCTTCCGATAGTGAAGAAAGTGACCCAGAGGTTATTGAAAACGTAAAAATTTCGATTGACAAATTAGTCGGTATTCTCAACACAGCAATTATAGGACTTCAACAGCGGAACTTTGTAACTAAACAAGAAATTATGTCTGTTTAATAGAATTAAAGAGAAAGCATTATCACATGAAACGAAGCAACTTAAACAACTTACATTGAAAGAAATGTTTAATAAAGTAAACAAATAAATATTAAGCTTTTTCTTTTTGTAAATTTTGATATCCTTCAGATCATAATTGTTCTTTATTTCATAAATTATGGTTTCATATTTTTAATTTTGTAATTCCTGCATGCCATCTTACCAGATTGAAACTGATGATCTATAATCCGGAAAAATCGATAATCCGGAATCGCCGAAGTCCCGTCGAGTCCGGATTAACGACTTTTGACTGTATACCAAAATATAATGCCCATGTCATTATATATAATGACCATTCAAGGCACTATATATGACCTATTAAATCGAGTAAGAAAAATAAAAACGCTGGCTCTTTCCTGAGAAATGTGAGCAATACGCATTACGCATCGAGAAAGCTGATAGTCTTTCCGCTTCTGTTATAACGTTGTAATGTTACTTTTTAATTAACCAAGAAAGCTTATGTTAAGTTTCAAAATAAATAAAAAAAAAATTCATAACGAAATAAACAAAAACGCCTGTGCCCCTTTAATTCACAGGCACACTTATAAAGAGCTGTGATTTTCAGGTTGTTTATTTCAATAAATCTCTCAAAATCAGAAGCGCAAAACAGAAACTAATGCCAGTACATGAAGGTCAAATGCCATATGAATCAACCTATGTGAAAACAATTACCACTTAGCTCCATTTACTAGCTTTAAAAATTCAAATAAATCGTTGTGTTTTAATGTCATGTATACGCAGCGCTGGGCTGGAAGGAGTGGAATCATTGTGTCGCGTATATGTGACACTAGTCCTAAACGGGTTAAGTAATGGGATCTCGTTGAGCACTGTAGGTTAGTTCTATCACTTATTAATACGTATCTTCAAATTTTAGTTTCGTTATTTGATTTTCAGTTACTGCTCAAACAGAGGCAAAGTTTGTTAGCATCGAGTTGATGCACTGTAAATTTTAAAGAGCCAATAAAGGGTACGTTAACCTTTCTCCTTCCTTCAGTTACTACTATCCCTGTTTTAACACAGAAGTATATTAACTGAACTTTACAACCCATGAAAAAGAATACGTCGATTTTCCAAATGATAAATGATTCTTAAAAATTTATTAAATTAACCTCAGCAGCTCATGAAGATTCTTAAAAATTTATTATATTAACCTCAGCAGCTCATGAAGAGTTGTAAATGGAATTGTAAATAAATTGTGGAATTCATGCTTTGGCGAGAGACCTAGGGTACTAATAGTGACAATTCAAACTTTTACCCAGCATCACCCACATTTGGTTAGAGAAGCCCAATGGACCTGCATCTGCAGGTCTCATACCCCCACTTTCTTTACCACCAAGCCCATGAAGAGGCCTTTCCTACTGCCTGACTTTCATGTTCTCATACTCTGCACAGATCAAACTTCCATGATTTACTCAAGATTCAAATTTGGACCTCTTAGTATGCAAACTACAATATTGACTATATCTCTTTGAGTTAAAGGGCATGTAAAAATAAACATGCTTACCACACAGTGACATTCACTTAAAAAATGGGTAATCATGCCAATAATTTCATAGAAGTGTTTTAAAAATTTTTAACATTTTGTTACATTAAATGCCCTTATAATTATCTAATAATGATATTCCACAATAACCCTGTCACCCAAAAAATTAGTTAAATATATAAAATGAGATGTTATCTTGCGCTAGAACAAGAGTTCAAAACACAATACAATGATGTGACTCAGAATTTTGCATATAAAATTAAAACAGATTAGATTTACACACAGGCAGTCAAGCATCAAAATTTCAGCCCCACTCCCTAAAAGAAGTCCAAGCATTTTACAATTAATACTATTATACATTTCACTCTTTTATTAAGAAAAGAAAATGCAATCTCTATTCGCATATATCATATATTTTTCACATTAACTTAACACGAATCTCATAACTTACACGATGAAATTACATCATAGCATGAATATATCAACAGAGAACTTACACAGAAGATTACTCATAAAGAAGAAAGTAAGACATTTGTCCACTCATGAAGAGAGAAACAAAAACTTCAGTCAAAACAAAAAGAATTTTATAAGTCACAATGATCTGTTTTTGCTATCATATTAAGCTATGCCATGTGGTGTTAATATATCTTGTAATACAAGACACTGGAAACATTTTATTTATTATCATTCATGCCTTAGGCTATCTTAAAAATACCATTATCCATGGCATACTTTGAGTAGACTAACTTGATATGGCAATTCTTAAAAATCACTGAAATATATTTATGAACATGTTAGAACCTACATTAAAGAAACAATATGTTTCTTGTCTAAGATCTAAGAAATATATCTCACAATATGAAATAATGAAGAAGAATTTTCCATGCTATGCTTTTCAGCATTTTATGTTCACAAAGACTTTGCAAACTACTACATGGTATGAGTTATTGATTTTGCATTGGTAGTTAAGAACTGAACCGAACGAAAGAAATAAAACTGCACTGAAGGTAGAAGAGAATAATCAAAGGTTAAGCTGCTGATAAGCAGGTACAAGAGTTAAAAATAATTTTAAGGATACTTGTATTCTGTTTGCAACTACAGTAAAAGTCCAGAAATCCGCAAAGCTTGGGACCAGAGGTTGTGCGGATTTCAGGATAGAATAGATAAAGCATAATATTCGGACTAAAAAGGGCAAAATAAATAAGGCGTATTAGATACATTTAATTAAATTATTATATACAGTACTGCAATAGTTTATTATATGCATTAAGTTATTATTAAATATATAAATTGATTATATTATTCATTGTATTATATGTACAGCATCGAGGTTTGCCAATTTCGCCTCATGCAAAGATTTCCGGTTTCGGATTCCAGTGTTAGAATCACTGTTGCTGTAAAATTTCAACAGCTTTTCTTTATTTTTCCGTATATCATACACAATCATGTGTATTCCATACCACTATGCTATAAATAGAGGAGTAGCACCTGCCTCCATCCATGAGTGTGTTTCTTATCTGTCATTGTATTAAAAAGGGCAGAAATTTAATTAATTCTTAATTTATCTACAAAATATCCGGATAAAAAAAGGCAGCACTAAACAATCTCGTGAAATAACAATGCTCAGAAAATACAACGTGAATCGTGAACTTGAACAAAGAGTTGAGTGAATCGTCTGCTTTTTTACCTCGATGCAGATTAGAGGAAAAAAAAAACTTATTTATTTTATCTTATTTTTTAAACTTTTTTATGCCAATAATTTGGTGTTTCTGTTATGACTCATTATTATTCGGTAATTATGACGTCATTATTCGGTAAATATTTTTCTTCGATATTTCGTACTCAATGTTGCGGTTTCCGGAACCTATAAACTGAATGTTTATATTCTGAGAGGCAACACGGATTTCAGGTTGGCGGATTTTCGGTATTTGACTGTATTAAAGTTGTAAATTCATATGAATATATGTGTCTAGCATGTGGTGGTTATTGTTGTTGCTATTATTATAACAATTAATGTAATTTTCTTTGGCATTCAAAAATCCTATACCTTCCATATTGCAGCATAAGATTATACAATCTGCCCAGCTCAACACAAACAACTGTCTGTCCACAGTCATATATATGCTCTCAAATGATATCATGTAGCCTTATTACAATCAATATACAGTGATCCTTTGCATTCTATATTTGCTGCAAACTAGAAAGTTACTAAAAAATTGACTGTACCATTTTTCAAAATCAAGAACATTATTTTCGATACAGATGCACTGAGGCTGATTTCACGTGAACAGCTAATTGTAATGCTGTTGGTACATATGACAAGGATTGCATAAAAGCACTGTCAGCAGCTGTTTTCCATTGGCACTGTTGAAGAAAAACTTCTATTCTCTAATTACAGTTAAGTATGCACTCCTAGACAATTGCTAAGGATGGATCTCAATTTGCCATGCAGTATAACATTAAGCAGTGTAGGAGGCTAAGCAGGACAAAATATTGTTGCAACACTGCTCAACCATTAGAATAGAGGACATTTATTGTTCAGGAAAATACAGTAGGTTTTAAAACGCGCAGATGTAGAAAAGGGTACTTTTGATACCTTATAGAGTAATGAAAATTCACTCCTTTCAGAAAGGTGTTACTACGAGAAATGGTGCAACATTCCACACATTCTGACATACTTTGCAAAACATTGTCCAGAAGGTAACTAATCTCACTCCACTGTCAATGCACAGATGAGGGTGATTTGTTGAACTAATTTTCAGCCGCTAAGATGAGAAGGATGTTAGTGACGCTGAGTACAAAGGGCCTGGGTTCAAATCCTAGAGGAGGCATGGATGTTTGAAATGTATAGTGTCTTTGGGGTATAAAATATACAGCAAGCCAGGAGGTCTCTTGAGAAGTCGGTGTACGGGAAGTGGGAAAGGAGACCACGCCCTCCCAGGTGCACTTCTTCAAAATTGGGGCAGAATTGAGCAAAATCGCACTGTCACCTGTATGGTGCTTGAAGCTCTTGGCAACAATAGATGAAATCTTGCCCTCCTTGCCATGATAAAATTCATGGCTTATTCTGATTATATCAGACAAGTGAGATTAGACACAGCAACAACATATTTTCGATCAACAAGTCACCTCCCCAGATCATCCTACACATTTTCAATGGGGTTTAGATCTGGAGAATGCTCTGGCCATACAAGGTTTTTGGTTTGGTTTATTTTGATTGTGGCAAAACATTTCAGGACCATCTGCCTAAGGGGAGGTATGTCTTTGTGAAAGACTTTCTAAGGGAACCTGGCTCATATAGTACATTTTGCACACGAGGAAAACCATAAAAACACCCATGCAGCCAGTCCATTCGCCAGGATTTGAACTACCAGTGTTCAGCAACTTTACCACCGTTATAAAAATAACCGTTATAAAATTAGGATATACCTTATATTCTCATTTTCCACATTTTGCTTTTTTCATTTTGTGGTTGCTCAGGGTGATAGTGTTGTCCATCCTTAGTGATTGTCCAGCAGTTTACTTGGTTTAGTACGTGCTCATTACAGCTTTCCTTTTCATCACATTAGCATTGCAAATAAGATATTTTATTTTACTGCTGATGTCAGAAAACTTATAAATTTCTCAATAAAAATATAATGCAACACATTTTTAATTCTATGATGGCAGGCTTCTGCTCATTTAAAATGACAGTTGGTAAAAGCTCTGTATAATATGAAATTTGAAAAAGACATAAACCATCCAGCATTTAGATATACTAGCTTCAGTCTGTGTTGAGGGAATTTTGAACGTAGATGGTATCACAAATTTAATAACAAATATATAAATAATATATTTGTTACAGAAATATTAATTTAGAAAATATTTTTGTCTTAGCACAAGATGAATTAATTATGTTAATTAACTTATGAAATGTTAAATACAGAACATAATATGCATTTAACAAACAAAATTTAGAAACTATATCACTTTTTTTGAACAGAAAAAGTATTTTAATTATAACTAAATGAGAAATAGTTATATGACATAAAATAACTTTAAAAAAGCAAAAATAAACTGTACAGAGAGAAAGAAAGCAAACTTACTTTTGTATTCCATTGACATCTTTAAGGTAAAATCCAAAACTTTTCAACTGTGGTGCAATTTTTCTTTGCAAATTGCTCAAATTCTCTACTTTGCCACCTCGACACTCTGAGTGATAGTCAAAGGCAATATATGGAATGCTTTTGCAATACCTTGAAACTTTATGATGGCTCTTGGAAGATGGGGAAAAGAAAGAGAGAAGAAAGGGATACAAGAACAAATATTAAACAGAATACATAACTTAAAGTATAATCAAAATAAACAACTACAATCAGGAAATAAAAACGTAAGGACATTTTTCTACTACTGATGATAGACATATCACATTTCTAAGGTTAAGTAATTGATTTACTAATATGTAAGCCTACAAATATAACTAAACCCTAATTCCTAGGAAAAGTAGAAGGCTTTTACACACCTGCGATTTTTTACACACTTATTTTACATATATGCCTCAGGTCATATCAAGTTAAATTACTTTCACCAAGATATATCACGCACCTTGCAATTTTAATTGAAGGAAACACACATTCAGTAATACACAATGAAAAATGAACTCTCATTCTTTAAACGGTACAGGTCAATTCAACGCCAGGGTTTCGATGCGTGGTCAATTCAACACGAGGTCGTTTCGACGCGGGGTAAGTTTGACACCATACTTTTCATATTTTTATTTATTTTTAGAATAAGTTTGAATCATCATTCAAATAAATTTGGTGTCATCATCATTTGGTGTTTCCCACCCCACATTATGGGAATTCATAGATGGTCTCAGGCGTGTTCAAAAATCAATTGATCAATGTTATGAATAATTTGTACGTGGAGATGAACCGCCGCACAAGCGGAATAGGTATCTGCGTGTTGATATGAGAATTAAAGTAATAGTTGAAGATTTTGAAAATTGAGAAATAATGGAATACCTGAAAGGTGTGGCGCATAAGTTTGCAATGGATTAGTATAATAACAGTTCTGTGATGTAATCTTATTTATCTCTAATCTTATTTATGTATAATCGTATTTATCTGTAATTATATTTGTCTGCAATATAATATAACTACTTTGTAAACATATGTTTATTTACCATTTGTGTGTTTTGCCTTTTTGATGCTGTTTTCTGAAATAAATAAATAAAAAAAAAAAACCTCCCTCATGTCCTGGGCCTTGACGTTGGCGAGGGGGCTTCTCACTAATCTGGGACACAAACAAAAATCTAGAACACTTTCACACATATTTACACATATATATATTTCAAATATGCACGCAAACAATCGCTAATTCAATAAATAAAAATCAGTCATATTACTTACTTATATTACTTTATATTTATTCTATAAATAAATAAAAATACGAAAAAAATATGGCGTCGAACTGCCCTGGCGTCAAAACGTTAGCATTGAACCGTTGGCGTCGAAATGACCTGCTTCGTTCTTTAAATGTGTAATGGCCTAAAAAGCCTTCAAGTGCTGTAACAAATAATGTAATAAATAATTTTTATATCAATCTTTATGAAAGATGTTCATTCTTTTAAGATAACTTTACAAACAATTCTAGCTATACTTTCAGTGATAATCTCGATTTTTCAGGAAATCTACTGATTTCGGTATTGGAAGCACTGCACTGCCAATTAATGTATCAGATGCAATACATACAAGATCGCAAACAGCATAGAGCAACAGACAGAAATAGAGAATACAAGCATAATAGTAATTTGGGTTGATAATAAGGATTCTTTTCAGAAAATTGAAAGAGTTACGGCATTTGCAGCGATAGCTGAAATTTACATTTTCTCGCCTTCAAATAAGAAGTAAACAACCCCACCCTCCGCTCCTTTTATGCCTTAACAGTGAAATTCTACTTACATAAAATGTCATTCAGCGCAGAATTTTAAAAGGGTTTAAAAATTTAAAACTGATTTTACTCACTAAAATTTCAAAATTTGCTGTTAAACAGCTCAACAACACAAAAGTGATATAATAAAATAAGAATATGCTACAATAATACATAATCTAGATCAGGATAAAACAAGAAATATACTCTCTTCCCCCACAAAAAAAAAAAAAAAATGGCTGTTTTCATTGAAAATAAATATGCGTACAGCTCATACACAGTTAATGTTATGATTAAAAATTCAAGGCCATAGGGGCCATCAGTGGCTAGCAACTGCACCTTAAATTTCAAATCAGTAATTGGCGAAAACCCCTTGGCAGCGATGTATGCTTGTAAATGTTGAACTAAGAAGTGATAAAGATTCTCAATCTCGTTCTGCAATACATTCTGTCAGGCATTCCAGAGTTGTTTCAGATCTGCAACAGTTGAGGATGTCCAAATCTGGCAGCTTACCATTTTCCATACAGATTCAATTAGCGAAAGATCTGGTCACCTTGTTGGTCAAAGAAGAATATCAACAGTTCAGAGACAGTTCAGAGATGTATAAGCCGTATGGGGTTTAGCATTATACTGCTGGAAAATATCTCCAAGATGGCATGCCATGAAGGGTAATACAACTGGCTGCAGGATGCCACTTGGTTGGCATCCTGCGGCAACTGTTACCTGTTTTATATAATGCTAGTAGTGCAGAAGAAGCATGCACTATGACCAAAGGTAACATTCACTGGCCTTGAAAATTTAATCATTTGCACATAAAATTTCAAGATTATTGCTACATTTTAAGGGTGTTTTTTTTTCTGGCAAAGTAGTGTATGTATTAAGACAGTACAAATTCCAAAATCCAGACGTCTAATATGAGAATGATCTAAAATCCAGAGTTGATCACAAAACCTTTTTTTTTTTTTAAGAATTTTTTTAATATACTGCTTATGCATTTGATATATTTTCACAATAAAACATAAAAGTCCTGATTCTCAATTTCACTTTGGCACTCAAAACAACCTGATAAATCATTTATTATATTTTGCTTCTATCACCATATTAATGTCAATACACTGCAGCTTGAGAAATGATTCAGGCAACAATGAATAATTTTTTTTTATATCAGTAACTGAATACAAAGAGCATGGTAACTTTTAATGTTGACATTATGCTTCGCAATGATTATAAACTTCAGCTGACTAGTAATGTGTATGTTGACAAGGACAAGTTTAACAGAAATTTCTTTTCACATGCAAAAAAACAGATTTTGTAAATTTGGGCATATGATATTATATTTAGTGCTGTTTGAATTGAAAATAACTGATTTGTTATTCCCATAAGTTATTCAGGACAGGCACCAGAGCTGCTGCGGCTGCACTGGGCAACAGAATTTAGGGACGGCAAAATTTTTTTAATTTTGAACTCATCTAGAACAGGACCTGGCTAAGCCTTAAGTATAAGCTGATCTCATGATACATCATTGCAGTGGACACTATCCGATCTGAAGATAATCAAATATCACAAACAAAAAGCGAAATTTTACAATTAATGTAATTTTTTAAGCAGTATGGAGAAGTGGTAATAGATAAAGATATAAACGGAAGTTTTTCATGACAATGACAATGGCCCAATCATTAGTTAACTAACGAATAGTGAAATCTTAGTATGGTACTAAATTCAGAAAGTAATGCTGTCAATAAAGAAGAAAGTGACAGAGAAGTTGTCGAGATAAAAAAAATTTCATTTGATAATTTAGTGGAAATTCTTGACATGGCAATTACAGGACTTGAAGAACGCAGCTTTGTAATTGAACAAGAAATTATGTTTATAGTATTAAAGAAAATTCATTAGCACCAAAAATAAAGCAAATTAAATGACTTACATTGAAAGAAATAATTAAGACACAATAACATGCCGAATAAATACTAATTCAGAAGTCAAACAACAAAAATCAGCGTTATATTTACAAAACTTCTGAATTAGTATTGAAAGAAATGTTTAATAAAACAAACAAATATTGAACTTTTTCTGCAAATTCTACTTCCGTTAAGATTATACATGCTTCATTATTTCATAAATATTTTTAATTTTAAAATTTCTACATGTCATTTTACTAGATTTAAACAGATGATCTAATATCTGGGAAAATCCAGAATCTGGACGAGTCCAGATCTTCAAATTTGTAATAAGAATACTAAAATATAATACTAGTATAAGGAATATATATAATAATAATAAAATAATACATAAAAAATACAATACATAATAATAATAATACAATAATACAGAAAAATAATAATGCAAATGAGATATGATATAACAATCAAATACATTAATACATGAAATGATACTACTTTAGATAAAGTGCAGCAATAATACAATAATGCATTTAAAAGATAATAATGCAACAATACATTAAAATAATAATAATAAAAGCTTAAACAACAAATAAAGCCTTGCAAGACAACTCTTGACAAGCTTTGATAAAACTGGAGGCGAGTAATCGATTGCCCATGTGGTCTTAGTGTAGTAATACCATGTAGTGATACCATGAACCAACTCGTGATGATCATTTCCCTAAAAGAATGCCACTAAGAGGACAGCCTGTTTTGTGGGATTTGAAGCTATGCTGAATGACCAGTGTTCAGTGCTCATCTACTCAAATAATGGTCAGCATTATAGCCCCTCTCAGAAACCTCTTTTACAAGTCTAATTACAATGTATTTAAATTTTATCAAAATGGATTCCAGAAGGTTTTCAGTACAGTCACTTTAATTATAATCATCTTCTATTTACACAAACAGAAATATACATACCTTATATTTTGGTCTATAATGTGCACCTACAATTTCAAACTGCATTTATTAATTTTTAGGTATGTTCACCATATAAAGTGCAACCTTTTCTTTACGAAGAAATCTAAAAGATAAATGTGTGTCGCATTTGCTTTATCCCAGGAATTCGAACAATGGTATACTGTAATGATGAGCGATATGGGGAACAATACATACATGTGGATAAATGCTTGAGGAAATATATAATTCTACAAATGAGTGGGTTGTATTCAGTGCAGGTGGGCACAAGAATATTATTGTAGGATTTTGAGAAAAGGGGGACAGAATCTGGGATATGAATGCCCTTCTGACATGAATGAATTTGTAGAATGAAGTCAGATGTTTACTCTTTCTGTCATTTGAAGCCATGACTGTGAAATGAACAACAAAGGATTAAATAAAGCACATTTGCTTTATCTGAAATACAGTTGATTTCATGCTTCTTTTAATATTATATACGACTCTTGCC